ATGTCTTTAAACATTATGTAATATTATTTTATGCACTGTCATCATTTTTCAAATATTGAGACTTTCATAATGTGAATTTGAACTCTCATGGTCCTGAAACTGTAATCTTATCGAAGGGGTGGATTGAGACCATCTTCTGGGTCTTCCGGAACACAGTCAGGTTATTAAGTTTATATTGACCGGTATCTATTTTTTTCTGTTGGAAGACCATCAAAATGGAGGATGGATCAACATAGATACTTTGTAATACTGTCAGAAAATATCTCTGGGTCCGCTCCTGTTATTGACCATGTTACCTGTTGTGCAAGATTAAAATTCAGTGTTGACTGACAGTGCTATTATAAGCATTATTTATTATTGCATCAAAATTGACAAAATGACCTTTTTTGCATCTTTATTTTCTGTTTTTTGTCTGTACATTTGACAGCTTTGCTGCCTTGTTTATTTATTAGTATTTCATTAGTAGAAAATGATCACAGCTGTTTCTCTTTATCAGGGCATATGTGGCAAAAAAAGTATTGTTAACAGGGGCGTAACCAGGCATACGCACGGATGCACTGTGCGTACAATTTTTGAGCCAACCATGATATTATTCTCCATAAATTCAGTGTATTTTTCACTGAATATAATCGTACCTGGGAATTTTCAAAATCAGTGCGTACAATTTTAAAAGGTCTGGTTACGCCCCTGGTTAACAAAACTTTTCAGATTTTTGCTTGATTATATTGTAACATTTTTCATGTATTGCTGATAAATTTTTTGTTTATATAAATTACTCTAATGGCCTTAAGTAAAACTATGGCTTTGGTTAAGGCCTTTAAGTCTATTAACTTCCATGGTATTATATTTGTTATTTCAAACTATTTTCCAGGACATCTGCTCTGAAGTATATGACAATCACGCAGAACTTGAAGCACTTGAAGACGGAGGAAGAGACTTGTCAAACAATTTCAGATCTCGCGAAACTGCAGCTTTAAAGACAAAACTTTCAAATCTGCGCAAAAAATGGGAGAATATTTGTGCGCACGCCAAAGAACAAAGCACTGTGTTGTCTGACAATGTTAAACACTGGCACAGGTATCAAAATAACTTACAGCAATTACTTCCATGGTTGGACAATGCTGATAAACTGTTATCAGCCCCTGTCGCCCAGACGTCCTCCATGGAAGAAGCCAAAGAACAATTACAAAATTACCAAGCCTTTTTGAAAGAACAAGAAGAAAACCATGCTCTTTATGACAATCTACTGGAAGAGTCTAGTCGCCTGTTGGATAACCCAGAGGTCTCTGCCCAGATGCAGGAAATTCAGAGTCGTTGGAACACGATCCAAGTGCAGGCGGAGGAACGCGCCAACGTGCTTGATCAGATGTACACACAGTGGGAGTCCTATCACCAAGAGGTGGGAGAATACGAAGACGTTTTGGACCAATATGAGAAACTTTTGGCTGGAGATGAAACGGTTCTCACCAGCAGCATCAATGTTCAGAAACTGGAAATGGAGCTAGCTAAGCATAAGGTATTCACTAGTTTAGTCAGCTAGTTGCGAGTTTGTTTGTTTAGTTTTAGATGGTATAAATCGAAATATTTTGAAAATGAAATAACTTTGGCCCCATAAGCTTGTGGTATAACACATACCATTATTTACAATTTACATGCACTTTTTTGGCAATTAAACTCATTTGAAGTATATAATATCTCCGTTATTGCCAAGTAAAATTGAAATATGATCTCCATCTTTTGTGTATGAAACTTATTTTGAATTTTGCTCAGGCTTTGCAAGAAGAGATAAAGAGTCGACAGCCAGTCCTGGCCTCTGTTGACAAACAATTCCGCCAGCTTCAACCCCATGTTTGCCCTGACGCTGTAGAGGCCCTAGAAAGCAAGCAGAAACAGGTTCAGCAAGACTCCCTCAGTCTCACATCCACCATTTCTCAGCGGGTCTCAGCCATTGCCCAGACCCTCCAAGAAAGGAAAAACTTTTACAATAAACTGGAGGCCTTTGAGAAATGGCTAAAAAAGATGCACAGACGTATTGAGGAAACCAGTGAAATCTACAGTGACGATGTTGATAAAGGCTACAGCAGAACACAGGTATCAGTTTAACACAGTCCTAATTAATTAAATTTGACATAAATTTACATAAATTTACACAGAAAAGTGGGCATGTTTGAGAACTTTTAATACATAAACCCCTCCAGCGTAGATGATGGAAATAGCAGTGTGACTTGTTTGGCCTCATTATTGATGATTTTCACCTGAAAAAAAAAATGACCGTTTTATGTCTATATTGTTAACATGCTTATTAATTGTATAGTTAAATGATATTTGAAATGTATATCTTTTATTTCATTTATTTCAAGGCTGAACAAATTGAGGCTGAGAGTAAACGATCCACATTCACTAAACTTTATGCTGAGATTACTGAACTTAGAAAACATTGCCCTCCCGAGGAGGCAGAAGATCTTGCAGAAAGACAAAATACTGTCCGTGAAGAGCACAACAGTCTTCATCGGGTGTTGGCGAACAGAGAGGAAATATTTCAAAAATGGTCACCTTATCAGACAATGCATCACGAAAACCAAATCAAACTTGAAGCAATTCAGACAAGACTGAAGTCTGAGGAATTGACCTCAAATGACCTTGAGCAGCTGTCCCATGACCTGGAAGATGTGCAAACCAAAATGGCGGAATGGACCAAACATGCACACACACTAGACGAATTGATGCCTGAAGCAAGGGTCACAATATTAGACAAAGCAAAACAGACTCCCGTTCATTTCTCCATCGAGGTCCAAAGCATATTGGGATTGTGTAATGTGGTTGCTAAGGAAATTCAGTTACGCCAGGAAAATTTGAATGAGATTGAATCTCTCTGGCAGAAATTCTTAGCTGAGAAAAAGAAACTCGAGAATACAATAGATGATATTAGTCAACAAATAGAAGCAGCTGAAGTAAAGGAGTCAACTTTGGAAGGGATAAAGAGCTTGTCAAAAGATATAATGGTATGTTAATGTATAGAAAAAGGGTAACATTTTATACTGTACGGGTAATGTTAAAGGTGAACAATGTTCAGAGTTTTTTTGTTGTCTAAATCATTTAACATTTAATACAATAGCTATAGATACAGGTGCTTAAAAGAAAACTGTTTGAATGATTTCAAATTGTTTGAATTTTTCTTCTAGACTGTTCAAAAGGAAAAAGATGCTCTAGTGCCAAATTATGAGAGTCTCCATGACAGAGGACAGCAGCTCCTGCGCCTTTCTCCCAGCAGAGTGCCAGAAATTCAGCAGAATTTGAAGTTCATTGAGAACCGTTGGGAACATTTCCAGGCTTTGGTTCTTGAAAGAGCTGATGGTGAGCTATGATATATATTTTAATTGTTACTTCAAAATTAGCCTTCAATCTCTTGAACAAAATCACTCGTCTTAGCTTTATAATCTTAATTCTAAATTGCAAAGATTACTACATGTAGATCTTTTATATAATTCCCTCTAATTGAACTTAATTTTAAGTTATGTTACAGAACTGGAGCTTAAATTTAAAGACAGTTAGCTTGTTAGATAAGGGCGCACTGTTAAATCAAATTTGTATGCCAAGTATTTTAAGGTGAAGAAAATGAAAATACTTTTTTGGCCTTCAGGTTGCTCGTCCTTAATAGACCTTTGGCAGCAGTATCTGGATGCCCACCAGGGGGTGCTCAGGTTGCTCAGTGAGGTCAAGGCTGTTGCAGAAGCCACAACAGATTGCAACAGCCAGGCAGCAGTCAGAGAAATGCTCAACAAACTGAAAGTAAGTTTGATTTACATTTGCATATATATATATATATATATATATATATATATATATATATATATATATATATAGGATTGAAAAATCATGTAGGTGTATAGTGTATGACAAATTAAAAGTGCACACACTTGCACTGACATGCACTCTCATGTGCTTGCGCACACACACATGCACATACACACCCCACTCCCCTTACCAGGGGAATTATACCTCATCAAGAGTGAAATAAATGTAATGAGATCCAAAGCCAATACAGGATTAAAGAATGAAGAAGAAGGTTTACATCGAACAGGGATAAAATTTAAAATTTGCGAAAGTGCATTTCATGCCCTATCTTTTCTATCTTTCAGAAAGCAGAATTTGAACTGGTCAGTAACCACACACAGTTGAATTATTTCAATACCAAGGCCCAAAAGCTGATCAGTGACCTCCATGTTCTTAAGAATTTCAACAATTCACGGTTGAAAAAAGAAATACAGGCTGATAATGATGCTTGGCAGAAAACATTACTGGTAAATATTGCAGGGACAATAGAATTATTTATATAAATGTAGTATTGGACCATTGAAAGACACAGAACGCAAGCATTGTTTATTGATATTTAAGTGACTAAGTGATATTAAGTGATACTGTTGATACTGTTGATGCACTCCCACTTTTAGGCAATTCCATCTACATTATAGATTGTCAAATTTTTCCTCTATTTGGTGATTTAACTTGAATCAGTGTTGAGTTACAATGTCTACAAGATAACATAAAAAAATTAAAATTTAAAAAATGCAATTCTTATGTCTGACCCATTCATTGAATAATAATGGCTACATGATTACATAGAAAAAAATTTTTAAAATGCAATTCTGGTGTCTGACCCAAAGTAAAATTACTTCCAGTTGTTATCAGAGAACAAGCAGAACCTTGAGGCTCAGCTGGTCTACTGGGGCCAGATCCTGACCCAGAATGAGGAGGTCCTCACCTGGATCCAGGGAGTGGTGGACAGACTGGAGGACCACGCTCATCACTTCAGGGACACTGTCGGGGCTCAAAATGCCATGGACAGGTACAAGGTATGGGCTCTTTTGTTAATAGGGTTTATGATTATTAATATTAGTAGTGGTAGTAGTAGTAGTACTGTAGTAGTGGTAGTTACTTTAGTGTAGGTATCATTTATAAGAAACAGTTTAAGTGCCTAGACCTAATTTTACAATTTGGATAAGCTTTCCTTGGTGGATTCACTTGAATGTTTTCGCTGTAATGTGTCATTTGTTATGTTATTTTTTACTACAGGGTGAATTACCCTACTTTGAAGATCTGTTTGAATCTGCCTGTAAGAAAACCAGCGACCTCCAACGTCTGAACAATGGATGTGAGATCGAGAGTCTTCAAATGGCACAGCAACAGATCGACGCTCTGTTCAAAAAAGCTGATGACCTGGCTGACCAGTTAGAAGGCATTCTGACCGAGTTCCTCGACCTGACCGAGAGACTGACCGGGGAGGTGGAAGAAGAAGCCTCCATGTTGAACAGTATGAAGGAATACTTGGCCAAGTATGATGATGTGACTGGGACTGATGAACAGCTGGTGGAGAGACTGGATGATTGCAGGGTCAGTGATTTAACAGTGACATGCTTTTATCCCATATCAAGTTGAATCTTGTCTCTTTCTCCAAAAATTTGCCCAAAATCTTCAGAGAGAACTTACAGTTTTGATTACCAAGACAGGGATGCACTCATAAGGAAGTGGAAATGTTCCTATGTTTTTTGTTTTTTTTTCATAATTTATCCTTTTAATGGAAATGTAAATATCTTAATTTTTTACTTTTGTTTTCAGACAATCCATGACCAGTTCCTTGCTAGTCAAGAAAAAGTAGCAGAACTGCAGGAAAAACTTGCCACTTTGACTGCCAAATATCAGACTCCAGAGACTGCCAGTCTTGCCAAAGATCTGGCCGCCTTGGCCAAGAAGCACGAAATGTCTCTTCAGAGAGCTGAGAAAGTTGAAGACATCTTAGAACGCACCCTAGAACAACATGCTAATGAGGCAGAGCAAGATCATCAAAGGTGGCTGACGGCAGCGAAGGAGAAGATGGCTTGGTGTGAGGAGCCAGCTGGGGACAGATACAGTGTGGAAGCTAAATTGTCAGCCATTGAGGTAGGTTTTTTATTTATATGAAAATTTCACGTTATGCAATTCTGACATAGATAATTTCCTACATTCCTGGATATAGTTTTGAATTTGAATGTGTTTTATATCAATTAAAAGGTTGATTTAAATGCTGAGTTTTAAAATAGAATTTAAAATGAACCCTTACAGTTCACCTTCAATTAAACCAATTATGTACAAGATTGAAAATAACATGAAATAAATTCACAATCACAGGATTTGTTGAGAGAAACTGGTGAAGGTGAAACCAAAACAGATTTAGCAGAATCCAAGATGTCCCTGCTTGAGAGCACACTGACAGGATCTAGACAGAGTGACTTACAGGGCAGGGGCTCCATGGCCAGGGATGACTTCAAAGACTTTGTGGATAATCTACACCAAACCAAGTATGTATAACATTTGTTTGATTTACAGTATATTTTTTTCTTGTTATAAAATCCAGTGATTAGAAATGCATGTTTTTCACAAATAAATTGATTATACCCAGATAATTGATCCAACTGTAACAGTTTGTGAAATACCTTACTGATGTCAGTGTTTTAGCTTACGTTTTATTCTTGGATTTGAATCTCTTCTCTGCATCGCCATCAGTGGCAAAACTAATTTTACCTGAACATTGCTATGATGGAAAATCATCACTATGGTCAAAATTTAAACAACCAGCTGGGGATAGAAATTTTGATATCGTACTAGTATTTGAAATTTACCCAGATCCTTCAGATTATTCATTTCTGTTAACTAAAGGTAAATACAAAAGGTGAAAAACAAATTTGTGGCTTTACCATCATTGTTGATAGTGGATATGGCAAAAAAAGAACATTTTCCCCAATCAAAAAGCTAAAAATAAAAAACAAATTATGTTGACTTGACCCCGAAATTTGTGTCTTTACAGAGAGAGGCTGGAGTCCACCTTACAACAATGGGATGAGTATGAGGAGACAGAGGAGGCTGAGATGCTATGGTTAAAGAACACTGAGGCCAGAGTGAGAACTGAAGCAACTCTCAAACCTGACCTACAGGGCAAGAAGAAGCAACTAGAATCATTCCAGGTAGGCTTTGTTATTATAATTCACTGATGAGACTTTCCGGACTTTTGTAGGAATTCTGACTTTCAGGGTCATTTGGGTCATTCTTGTGAATCGTGTACTCTGGACCCCTGGCCAATTACCCTACTTTTTCAGTCTGGTCTCATCACTCTTATATATGAATCAGGGATGAGATTTTTCTGACTATTCATGGATTTCCAACTTTTTAGGAGCCAAAATATCATTGGCCTAGGCAACTCACTGGGCCCCACACCATATTTTGTGACTTTTTCACCAAATGGCAGTCTTATCCCTGAAGAGTGCTAAGCTCATGGATCCTTCATGTACTATGGTTGAATATGGCTAGTGGGTCTGATAAAGTAATTTCCCCCTTGATGTTTACCCAGTTCATTGGCCTGTCCCACCTCCAACAATCTGTATATGTACAAAGTATATATGCCCCATTACGCCATGTATGTGTCATTTTTATCCTTACAGAATTTTAAAATACTGAGGAAATTATCCTTCTTCTTAGTTTTGTTGTCATTTTTTTCCTAAAAACAGAATAATATAATGACTTTGTCATATTGTGCCTGAACATTGTTATTTTATGCTCAGTATGTGTTACATTCCTTAAACACCACCCAACATTTTTAATCTGCACCTATTTATTTTATACCTTATGTTCAACATGTGGTACATGTAACTCCTTAAACAACAGCCAACATTTTTAATCGGCACCTATTTATTTCATACCTTAGGCCTTGTTACAAGATGTAGAGGCACACGAAGATGCAATGTCCACCTTGGGGTCCCAGGCAGGTGACCTGGCAGAAACCACAGGTGACAACAGGGTGACAGCCTCAGCCACTCAGATGTCTGCCAAGTTCCAACAGCTAGTGGAACTAATCAAGGTATGCTTGGAACTAATCAAGATGTGAATTGGCTGCTTGCAGCTGGGTAGAAACCAGCAAATAATAGAGTCTTTTCCACGAAATCGTGAGCATGCGCAGTTCGCGCCATTTTGTGCGGGACTGTTTCTCAGGGGGAAAGAGTAGAAGGGGGCCTTCGGTACTTTTGTAGTATACCCCCCCCCC